TGAGGTATTTTATAAGTTGAAGGCTAAAAATAAATTGTTGGCCATAATAATTGTTGCCAAAGCTTGCAGCTTTCTCCGTTACATGGCACAACCATATTAAATAAATCTTAACAAGAGCTTGTTTCTAGGGGTTTTGCAGTTGGCAATTTCTAAGTACCCAGATTAACAAACCTTCAGCATGATAGCTCAAGAGACTTCTAAGCAATGTTAAAAATAAATATATAGAAATTATTCGAAAGCTAAAAATAGCTCTTGTTTATTCTAATGATGATCTAGATAGGATGTGGCTATAAATTATCATCCTAACGCGTGGAATACTACTCAAAACCGGATCCATGATCTGTGGACGGCCAAGAAAACCAAAATCTTTTGGTTTCAAGCACATTTCTAGCTGCAGGGTATCGTTTAGTCGTACACACGTAAAACACTTGCATTTAACAAATAACTGCGTGCGGCGAAATAAATAATAAACTGCTTTTTGTAAACAATGCGGCTGATTGCAGCGTAGCAAAATATTTCTGAGCCATCAAATAAATTATGAAGTTTAACATTTCGACCCGTGGGCAACGGAAAATTATTCATGTGACCTTTTTTGTGGTACGTGTTTTAACGGAAACATGTGTCGAATTTTAAGTATACAATTTGCGTTTGCCTTTGTCCACGCATATACGATATACTATATATATATTTTTGAATTGTATTATGTTTTTCGAGCCCAACCAAAATTAAAATGAAAGCATCAACCGCCCACTTGACCCCAAAAAGGTATGGAGCCGGGGTCAGCTATAATGGCAACTAACAAGCACGCTTCAAATAATAAACATTAGAAAATGTTGCACAGTGTTTGGTTAGCGCTTCGGTTAGGCAATGGGCTGTGCGGAGGGGCGGGCGGTTTTGCGGGTGGCAGAGTGTGCGGGTTAGTTGCTATAAAATTACCTGAACAACAACATTTTGGAATGCATAAGAGCCGCTCAATTCATTTGCGCACAAACAACGTTGCTGCTTTTCGTCGTTGTTGCTGCTGCTTGTTATTAGAATTGAGCCCGGTTTTGGGCATTGCATTTAAATAATGTAAATATAATTTAACTGTTTGCCAGCGATTTAGTTTCAAAAATATTTTGCTGCATTTTATGCGTCGCCATGTTTGCTCCATTATGCCATTAGTTGTTTTTTGGCCTGGTTCAGGTGACAATGCAAATAATTAGAGTCCACAATGGGCGCCATTCAATGGACTACACAAAAACCAGCGCAATTTCCAGTGCGTGTGTGTGTATGCCATTGTTAAATAAATCAGAAAGTAATTAAAACAACATGAAATGCGAGTTACACTCTCTGCGGAAGTAGAGCAGAGCAGCAGCAGGGCAGAGCAAGAGCAGCTCTGAGCTTCCCCTACTTGGTAACCTGCACCCCGGCACACACTGGCTTCCTCTGCTGCCACTTCCTATTTAGCAAACAGAACTGAAAACGCGACCAGCGACCAGGGCAACAGAAAGTAGAAAACAACAACAGAAACAAGCAGCGACTGCGTTGGAAAATTGTGAAACAAGCCAAAGAAAATTTGCGCAACGAGATGCAAAATAAACTTAATTTACGTTTATTTGCGTTGACAAATGTTTTCGAAGGAGTGCAACTTTTAATTGCAAAATTTATTTGATTTGCCAGCATTTCTGTATTGGCTGCATGTTGCCTCCTTTCTGCCCTTAGCGACGGTAAATAAAATATATCCATTACATAAGTTGGCTAACTGAACGGGGTAACCCTTCTTATCAAGGCTGATTAAAATTTAAAATCAGCTATTCAAAAGATCTTGCAAGAAATACGTCGAGTATACTTTATCTCTCTTGTTTTCAATATATTGAAACGGCATCTGGGCTAGAATATAGATTGAAATTTAAAATCCTGGCGCTCAACGTGAAATGGCGTAGAGTATATTTTATTAACAGACAAAAGTGAGCGTTTGGACTTGTGATTGTTTAAAATTATTTAGTCACTTGTTTGCCACTCAGTGCCATATAATTGAATATATAAATATTGAATATATATTAAAATATATTTAAAAAAGCTTTTTAATAATTAAATATCATTTTGAAGATTTTGCATGCAAGGTTTTAAAACTTAATCTTAGCAAGATGCTTCTTCTATAATGCAATTTAAATAGTCAAGCATTCCAAATTGATTCAGCTTAATTATTGGCGCCCAACGTAGGCTTGCAATAGTTTGCAGTTGGGTTTGGACAAGCACGAATATTTATTTAATACCATTTAATCTGTTCAAATTTGTGCATCTATACATAATGATTTTCAAACATTTGTTCTAACTTAATTGTGCTGCCATTCTGATTGGCATTGTACATGTTGCAGCCTTCGGTTACATGTCGCTTTTAATTGCTGCGGCAGCCACACACAACACACACAACGCACACACACACACACACACACACAGTTTAGACACATTTTTCTAGTTTTTCAAACATTTTGTTTCAGTTTTTGGCAGCTGCAATGGAATTCATGTTGCGCGCAGGGGCAAATGGTAAATGCTGCGCCTTTGTCTGCCGTTTAGTGTCAGAATTTTTGGCATCAAATTGCGGTGGGTCAGGTAAAGTGGCAAATGTGTGTGCGTGTGTGGTAGTGTGAGTGGGTGTGGCTAAAAGCATGCCATGAAATATGCGCATAAGCACATGCATATTGTAACAGTTCGAATTTGCGCGCGTTTGTTTGAAATATTTTTTATTGTTATGATGCAGCAGCTGTTGCGGTTTTTTGCGCCTAGCCAACCGCAAAAAAGAGCAGGTAGGAATTTAAGTTGAGTACAACCGACTGCGTGATACACGTTCACAATCTAATCATAGCTTAAAGTGGTAAAATATATATTTGGGTCGACCCTTATAGAAACTTCTGAGTGATTAAATGTGCTCTTTAACTGTGATTTAGTATAACATAAATATATATATTTGTCTCACCGCCCACATAAGTAGACACGAGTATATATTCCCGTTGAAAATTCAATCATAACTTTAGGTGGGTAAGCTTTATTTGAGTCGATACTTAGAGAAACTCCTGAGCCATTAATTGTGCTTTATAACTGTGATTTATTATAGCAAACATTATATATATATATTTGTCACGCCCCCTACATCAATAGACTTGAGTACCTCTTTCTTCTTCGTCTTCTGATTTCATTGCGCAAAGCCAATATACTCTTTTCCCACTGTAAACGGGTATACAGAAAATAAGTAAAATATTCAGTGGCAATCATGCCACATGCGGCATGTGGCAATTGCTGTCTAATTATTTTCTTTCTTTATCGTTCATTGCACTCACTCAGAAGCTCACAAGCGGGCGGCTAGAAAAATGTCAGTAAAATTTCAACGGTGTGAAATTTTGTGCAGTTTTTCCATTGCCGTCTGCCTCTTAAATGGCTTCTAGTTTTTTTTTCTAACGCTATGTGACTGCAGGCAGAATTTTCATTAAAGCATTTTTGATGTCTAATTTGCATTTTTCTTCTTCTTTTTTTTTTTGTTTACTGCACAGCTGCTGGAGATGCCGTCGCCTTTTTAGCAGGCGACTGACACGTTAAGCATTCAGGGGATTGTTTTGGCCAAACGAACACCCGCACGGCGCAGCCCGTCGCCTAACACTTTTGTAGCTGCACTTTTTTGTTCTGTCTCTTTTTGTTGTTGTTGTGCTGCAGTTGTCAGTTGTCAGTTGTTGTTGCTGTTGTCTCTCAGCTCTCAGCTCAACTCTGATTTGGGCCCAGTTTGCAGGCTTTTTGTGTGCGCCTGGCTCGCTTCTTTGGCTGCTCGCTTGTTGGACAAACTGTCGAGTGGCAACACTAATTCGCATGCAACACAACAACAAATGCGCTGTGCACACATACACACACACACAGGCACACACATGCACATATTTGCAGCTTTTTGTTGGACTTTCAGCTAAATTTGTGCCAGCGCTTTAGACGCCTGCTTTTTGTTAATTTGCAATTTTCTAACCATATCCATTTGCTGCCGCACTCTGAATATGTGTGTGCACAGCTGCTGCTGCTGCTACTGGTGTGTATGTGTGTGTGTGTGTGTGTGTGGGTGTGGCTGCGTGGCACACATGTCCGTCAGCTTCACTGGTCAGCATTTCGTTTGCTGGCATTAATTCAATTTCTGTTTGCATATTGCCAGCTTCTGTTACTCCTTCTCCTTTTTTTTTTGCATAATTTGCTTTGGTATTTCATGTGTCAGCGCGCCTAAATGCATGCCACACTTTTTGAAATGCGATTTTAGTGCTTTTATATGTGATTGCTTTGTATTTGATATTTTAACTCCTTGTCGGAGTTTTCTTTTGTTTTCTTGAGAGTAATTGTTTTAAAAATTGAACTTTACGTGCTTAGCTTTCCAGCTCAGTTAATTTTAATAAACCATACAATTTTCTGCTTTTATACTTAAAAATGATCTCTTTAAAACTGTGTAAATTTATATTAAAAGAAGAAAGACATCTTCAATTTTTAACAATTTTTAGTTTATCTGAACATTTTGTTGTAAACTTTACTTTTAGATATTTGTAAAAAATGTTTAGAAAAATGTTTGATAATATTTTACTTATAATAAATAAAAATACAATTGTTTTTAATTTATGTTTTCAATAAAATACACCCCGGCCCTGGAGCCAGCTTAAGATTTAAAGCTTTATAGATAAATAAATTTGAGCTCAAAAAAAGTTTAAAAAAAACTGTTCAAAATTCAACTTCAAAAACCAGTCAAACTTAATCTCTACAGCTGTGAAGTTGTTCACACAAATCAGGAAAGCAAAAACTGGGAACAGAAAAAAGTTGAAATAACATTTAAATTTCACTGTATACACTTTCCACAAGATTCACTTAACTATGCCAAAGACTTTCTTTTAACTACTTTATGCGTTTTTTTGCTAGATTTTTTTTTTAAAATATTTTCTGATTTTCATGAATTTTTTTGCCCGAAACTTTTTTGCTTCCGCTGTTGCTGCGGCTACACTTACCAATGCCTTGGACACCATGGCGAATGCGTGTTATGGTTTTTGCTTGGCCCAAATTGAGAAAACTTCTGAGATATCGCTTATGCTTTTATGTCTTTGAAATGCTGCCACATGTGCTAATAAAAAAATTCCAAATTTTATATTTTGCAGATGTTCAAATTTACGATTGGACACTTGGCTTCTTTGGCCACACACAGACACGTACACACATGCACACACACTTTGGCGTTGTGTGATCTATATGGAATATTGGAATATATGGAGTTGGGATCGCGCACGAGCGTTTTAAGCGATATGCTTGGCGTGACGAGAATGAGTGGCCAATTGCCGTGAAACGGGCCATTTATAATGCTGCGCTGGCTGACGCGGAGCAGCGCCTCAAAGTAGGCAGCACAATTTTTATTTATATATAAATAAAAGTGCTGCCGTCTATTGTTAGATATGCCACCTGTTGTCTGTATATGCGGGTGTGTGCGGGTGTGTGTGTGTGTGTATGTGTGTGTGTGAGCAGTTGTCACTGGTAACCCGTCACTTTGACAGTGGGAAAAGCCCTTAGCCAAGTGCAAATTTGTTGCTGCCAACACGCAATTATTTAATGCAATACACGAAAAGCCGTTCGCTCTTATCTGGCCAGGTCTCTGTGTAAATGGCTGGCAATATTTGTATGTACATGAAAGGAATCTGCATGGTTTCCATAGCAAATCAACTGCAGGCTGATCCATAGAGCAGGCGCAGAAGAAACCGCAGTCATTTCATTAGACAACAGCACGCAGACCCACACACACACACACACAGAGGCAAACCTCATAAGCGTGCTGTATATAGCGCCTGCTGCAGTGGCAGTGGCAGTAGCTTACTGGACAGCAGTCAGTATGCTTATCTAATACACACAAACAGACACACACACACACAGACAGACAGACACACAGTGTTGCCCCTATTACGTAGTTTGGGAATATTCCGAACGCCGATAACATTTGAATTTTGGCTTGATTTATGAGGCATTGCATGAAACACCGTGGCAGGCTTATCATCAACATAACAACAAGAACAACAGCCACAACAACTTTCATGCTAATACTTCAAATCCGTCCTCCTTCCCCCTGCATTTCTATCACATTTAATTCAAGCATTGAACCACAAACTTATGCATGCGCAGAGCATAGCGAAATTTAACATTAAAATTATGCTGAATGCTGATTTGGGTCAATGCGCACTTAATTTTCATATTAATTAATCCAAATCGAATTTCCTCATCTCAATGTGTGTGAGATTTAAAGATTTTGTGCATACATTCAATGTGCTCAGGAGTTATGCTAAGCCCTGGCTTATAATATTTGCAAGTGTGTTTTACTTCAAGCAAAGCCTTAAAGAACTCAATTCTGCGAAACGTCTTTTGTTGAATTATATTCGAGTGGAATCGGATTTGGACATAAGTCTAGCTGCGGTCATGGGGCAGATCAATTGAACTCAATAAATGTATATGATTAATTTATATGCTCCAATTTCTTAAAGCTCTTCGATAGGTGAATATTATGAAAAATTATATAAAAAATAAAAAATACAACACAATGAATATATATTTCTCACAGGATGTGTTTTTTTTCGATATTGTTGTTACAAATAAAAAAAAAGAACATCCGCAATTAAAAAATGTTTGGATCTTTGGATGAGCCCTATATCCTGCAATGCCAATCTATAGATTATGTGCTTGTGAAGCTAATGCTTCTTTGTGTATTTATAAGGCCTTGGTCGAGTTGATGCTTATTTTTTATAAAAGATATACTAACTTTAGCCAAAACTCGATCATAAATCAAGCACCCAGCGAGTCCTATTTGAACCCGAAACTTTACTCACCAAATCTTTGGCAACCATTTCCACTAAGGAGGCATGGATTTAGCAAAAAGTGTGAAATACACCTCAAATGAATTTGAATAAAGATCTTAACAAAAAAGTTCCTTTTGGTTGGAGTTTCTAAAAACCTCGTCAAAGCGTACACCTTCACCACGTAAGGTAACTACAGAAAAAATTTTAGCTTCCTAGCTTCTACGGTTTCGGCTGTGCGTTGAGCCCTCAGTCAATCAGTAAGGACAAAAAGTTTTACAAAGAGATAAATATATATTTGCTTATACGTACTCACCTGTGAATTCACACTCAATATTTTATCGTCATCAATCAGTAGGCGGGAGGCGGACCATTATATAAAAACACATCACTGAAGGAACAGAAAAGCAGAGGTTATGTCTATTAGATTTAAGAAGCAGTTATGTTTTTAAAACGTACTAGTTTTTTCGATGGCCTCCGCCAAACCCAAAGCTTCTGCCTCCAAACTCTCCTCCTTTGTTCAAGCCGCAGCCTCATTCATAGTTGGGGTCGCCACTTCCTCTAGTGTTCAAGCTGCCACCTTCACCAATATTGAAGTCATCTCCTCTAATAAGTATAAAAGCCACCGCCTCCTCCTTTGCTCAAGTTGCCGTCTTCTCCAATATTAAAGAAGTCGTCTCCTCAGTCTCCGCAATAGTTTAAGCTGCCACCTCCTCCAATATTAAAACCAACGTCTCCTCTTTTGCTGAATCTGCCGCTTCATAAAATTTCAAAGCCGCCGTCTCCTCCTCCATAGTTGAAACCGCCTCCTCCTTTACTGGAAGTGAGGCTTACTATGAGGCTTACTTTTATTTATGAGAATCGCGTAGAAGGGAATTATGCATACGGACATGCATGCATCCGTACATACACACATTAATAGATGCATACACACATATATACATACATACATATATACAAACTAACATATATACATACATATATACACATAAACCCCCATACATACATGCATACACACGTACATACCTACATACATACATACATACATACAAGCATACATACATACATACATACATAAATACATATATTCATACATACATACATACAGTTTATAGTTTAACAGTTTCTGCCGAATTGCATTGAATCGCATTTTTCACCTAGAAAGCTTGGATTCTGCGGGAAATGTAAAACACGTCTTAAATATTATTTATAAATATTTTTGGATATGAAACGTTACCAACCACTTGACCCCCATTTCCACCAAGGTAGAATTGATTTTTCAAAAAGCATGAAACATGAATCCGATCGGATGGTGAACATAAAATGTTCATACAAACTTTTTTCGTAATTTTACCACACTTGCAGGTGGAATTTCCAAAAAGAAAACCACCTAGCGTACACCTTCATTCCATAAGGTAACTAAAGTGCAAATTTTAATTTCCTAGCTTTTACAAATCGGTCAGTCAGGAAAAGAGTTTTATATATAGGTATGATATAAATAATTATACTACGAGCAATTCAATGATGCTTTGACATTGCCAAGACATGACCCGCAATGTACATAGTTTAAAACTAAACAGCAAGTGCGCTTTTAGCGTAGTTGCGGAAGCGCTGAAAAGTATGCAACACAAATGTGTTTTGCGCAGTTGCTGGCTGGAAATTGTGGCATGCTTCTCAGCATGGAATGCGATGGACAATTCGGGGTAAAATATTTGTTGCTCGAGAATGTTAAACAGAATTCCATAGTGCAAATAGTTTTGCACCTTTTGAACAGCACTACGTGTTGCTGCCATAGTGCCCAATGCCAAGCCGGATATATTTAAAGGCTGGCAGTTAACAAGAGTTGCATTCTGGCACTGCAATTGGAATGTGGTGGGAGGATTATTGGGGGGTTGTTTGTTTGCTGTTTGGGCAGCTTGCAACTAGCTACTGCATATGAATTGCAGCTTAGCACATTAGGGGCAAAGCCCAAGCTCATATATAGCATGAATTTCTAGTCCGCTGCCTGTTTCAGTTCACATATTTGCTTTGGCTGCCTTTAGTCTTTCCCTTGCACTCCGGGCTTACGGCAATCACAACTGCTGCTGCTAATATTGGCCCAGACTCAATTGCATGCTAATTAACATTTTGACATGCACTTGCAATTGGGCCTTAAATATTGTGCCATTTCGCTCACATACTTTAAGTACACAAAAAAAATATATAAATTGTCTATTTACTTATTAAGCTATCTGCAGCCATTGTGAGCAGACTTTTGAGCTGTTTCTTTTTTGACTGCAACTTCCTTGCCTGCATCCTGCCGCCAACATTTTCAGTTATTTTTTAGTTGACTTCACTTTTGGTTTGTGGCCTTTGTTGTTGGCCAGGCGCTTACTGCAGCCAGGCAGTAACTTTTTGACTCTTTCGCATCACTCATTTTCATTTTAGACATTGCTCTCAGTAGTTTTCCTTTTCTGTTATTTTGTTAGTGGTATTCTTCTTCCGTGTGGCCTGCAGTTGCCGTCTTAAAGTTCTTCAAATAATTGCCCAACCAGGGAAAAGGGACAACTTTGTGCGCTTTATTCTTTTGTGGTTCCGAATTCTCGGGTTTTCTCATTCTTCTGTCTTTCAGTTTGCTTCCTTCTTGTTTTGCGTGTATTTTTGGCATTTTTCTGTACACATTTTTGTGTTTTGGTGGCAGAGCAAAAGCATAACACCTAAATTAAAAATTAAAGGGAATTCATTTTTTCAATTTAAACATATATTAAATTTACTATTATATATTATAGGAACTAAAATTAAAATAAGTGTATTTAATTTAATGAAGCTTTCAATAAAATTATATTCTCTTGTCATGCAAGCCGAACGTGTATAATATATACATATAGATTAAATGTAACTTCCAGCGTTGACTTAGTTTTATTGTGCTTAGTAATGAATAATAGGGATAAAGACGCTTTGAAATTATATATATTTGGGGAACCAGGTACAATTTGTGGTGGAGCATAGTTTTTTCTGGGCTGAGCCAGGTACAGGTACAGTTACAGCTAATTAGTTGAGCAATAAGTGAGTGTACTTAGGAACATACCTAATGACCAGGCAGCCAATGTAAGTAAGAAATAATATTAATTAGAGCTACGAGTTATAAAATTCTAGAAGTAGACTTCAAAGCAAAGCCCCTTTGCTTGCCTCTAACAACAACAAATGCTAAATGCCGCAGCAATTACATGCAACACAGGCCGCAAAGTCAGACTGCAGTCAGCTGCATGCAGCTCTTCTAATATTACAGCAGAGTAAAAATTTAATTAGTTAGCGTTCCATTCGGTGCACTCGCTCAGGCTGCTGGACGGGGGCAGGCTACAAGGCGAGGGGCCTCAAGTCACTTGCCAGCTGGTCATGTTGTGTGTGCAACAAGGCGAAAGTTTCAATTATTATATGCAACAGCCTGCACTCCTTGCAACTGCCGCCTGCACTTTATGCCAGCTGCCAGTTGCCATTTGGTAGCTGCCAGTTTGCCAGTTTGCCAGTTGGCTGTTGGTAGTTAGTCAGGTTAACGTTCTTTCTGCACTTGGCCAATAAAATTTTGAGTACATTTATAATTTGTGGCCACTGCCACTCGCACAGGCTGACACTCTTTAGTCTCTGGGCACGGCGTCAAGTTCATTAAATTTTTCATTGCCGTGTAGTTTAATTAATTTTCGCAACAGTCGTCGCTGTCTTTGTCGCCGCCACTGTGACTCGTTGGCATGTGCGCTATTTTGATATGATAACTGGATCATAATCAGCGTATAATCTTTATAGACAGAACCGGCAGAATGAACCGGCTAATCGGCAAAAATTGACGCACATGCAATCAAACGCCCACAAAGTATAAAACACATGAAAACTATTGACTATTGCGATTGACATTTACATATAAAGTTATCGCAAAAATGGAATTCACAAGGAATGCTACGAGAGAATGGCGAGCACGACGTAGCAGATATTCAGTAATTTGTTTTAAATTCAAAATTCCATAAGGAGGTTGTCGTTTTCTATTAACCGCAGGGAATAACCATGCATCAAGCTCTGATTTGTTCAAAATTATCTTTGCACTTTTCCCACTCATTTAAGCTTAGTTAATGAGTACGTACAAATTTGCAGGGCTTAACTTTGATAATCGCTGAGTGCGGATCAAAGAGAATCCAAATAAAGTATAAAAAAATATTAATAGAATATCTTTCATTAAAGTACAAGAAGTGGTTCCGACCTAAAAATATGTAGACTCTATCTATAGTTATTTTCTCATGAGTTCACTCTGCCGAATGTATGAATATTTCATATGTGGAGTGGGCAAAATAATTAACAAAAGCATTTGGCCAACCCCTTGAACAACTATAAAGTAGGCAGGGTATCAAAAACTGTGTGAAACCGTCAGCAGGAGCCACATGATTGCCATTGCCAGTGGCTGCTGCTGTGGTAGTTGGTGCTGCTGCTGCTGCTGAGGGTGTTGCTGCTCGTGCTGCTGTTATTGTTGCCCTTCACTAGTATTCAATAAGCTTGTTTATGGCTTATACAGCAGACACGCAGTGCGACTAATATTGAATACGCGTTTTAATTGAATTTCACGCGCTTTCATAAACTCGACGCGTGCCCCAGCTCTGGTTAGTTTTATGGCTCAGCCAACCAGCAACAATTGCGATTTCTATTTCTAACTCCATTTCTATTTCTGTTTCTATTTCTGTTTCACATGGCTGCACAGGCAAGAGTCGAACATCCGCGTCAAAGCAGCCCGCAAAACCAAGCCACATCCATCCACATCCATCCACATTCAACCACGTTTCCATTCACGTCCATTCAGATTGAGAGCGTGTTTAATTGCGCGCACTTCTTGTTATTGCAATCGTAAAATCTTTTGTTATTGCCACACAACAATTTGCCCGGACCCGGACCCGGACCCGACCCACCCATCGACTCGGCCAGTTGCATTCAAGTATATACAAATAATAATAACAACAGTGACATCAGTGCGTATACGTAATGCTTGTTGTAAAAATAATTATCGGAAATTATATTGCCGCGTAGTTCATTAGGAATTATTACCAAATACACACGTTTGTTATCTCCTCCATCCCTTGCCCACCAATTGTCTAATTATATTAGGCATTTTTAATTACTCGCTGATAGCCATCGGCAACATATCAAAGTGCCTATCAGGAGCCAAGGAAAATAATGAAAGAAATTAATACTGCAATGCGGTCAGGTCATTCGATTGCTAAGGCTGGAAAATTCTTGATTTATACTGCAATAAATTAAATTAGTTTCTGTAGAACTGCAAGTTATCAATATTTAATTAAACTCTTATCTTTCAGAACTTGTGAATCACAATGGCTTTTTAAATTTTATTTTAGCTATAAATCATGTTTTGAACGAAGCAAATACATACTATAGCCTGCCGATAAAGCTAGATCAATTTGCTTCTAAAATTTACAATCTTCAACGGCATGTGAATCCCAAATCGCTGCTAATTATTGTTGCGAATACGGAAATAGGTTATCGCAAAAACAAAAATTAGGAAAACCATAAAATAAATTATATTGGCTATACATTTTTGGGGCTGATAAAGACGAAAAAATCGAAATACATTAAATATTCTGATTTCAATGGGCATGTTATAAATTTAAGAATTCTGGCTCATCAAAATTTGTCTAATTTACTGTCTTGGAAAGATTTGGATGATTAGTCATGGGGAATTCCATGGTAAGGTTTTGGAAATACACAAGTTGTACATATTAAATATGACATGAATTTACTATATTATTTATATTGCTAACTTGCCATCACTTGAAGAACCCTGAGAATCGCAGAGAAGGGCGACTGACATGCGTATGAGTAATACATATTAAATCAACAGAGCCAGGGCTCGCTGCTATACGGCACTTTTGAATTTACAATCTATATACGCCATATATTCTAACAGATTTATATTTGAGCATGCAGTAAATTCCGTAAATTTCTATAAAATCTTATCTTCCAAGAACTTGTAATTCCCCACATGCCACTGTCCACTGAAGTGTTTCTACGACTAACTATGGGGAATACTACTTGCTGAAAATTAATTATCGCTCACAAAGTTGGACATATTATCACCGAATGCTAGCACAAATCGCATGTTACTCACAGCAGTTGTTTTAATTATGGTACTCAAAATAGGCCATGATTAAAAATGGTCGCTAATGAATAGTAAATGGCTTATCAAAGGTGAGGTTCAGTTGGAAGTGACCCCATAACAGGCTGACTCATGACTGACATCGACTTTTAATACAATCGCTTATGGCCAAAAACAAAACACATTCCGTTGGCCCAGTTAGCAACCAATTACACTGCGAGCAGTAGTTAAGGCACGCTCTGACGCTCAGTTGTCGGCCGCTTAGTGCTCTGATGTCTGACAATCCATCAGGAGCTAACTCAACGTAACTCAATGTCGAGCAGGCGCTGGTGCATTTGCCACGACTTCATTTCCGCTGACAGCTCTTGAAAATGGCTGCCTGGGGCGCCCGCTGCGGTTGCTGCCCCACTCGTTATGCAGCTGCAGCTGTAGCTGTATCTGAAACTGCAACTGCCAACTGCAGCGCGTTTAGTATGCAGTGCAGTCGGAAGGCGTGGCATTTGCTTTAAGTAAATAATATTAATCATACGCCCGGTAGTGCCACGAGCTAGCAAACGCTCCGACATGCATCAAACAACGAGGGCGCTGAAATTGGAAAATTGAAAATGCATTGTAAGCGACGACTGCTGCGGACAACTGGTATGGCAGGGGATTGAAAAACTGCTGGCATCGTGCGAAAATGGAAATGAATTACGCTTATTTCAGCAGTCGGAAGGGAGAATTGAAATTTTTATGCGCATTTCTGTCGCTCTTTATGAGCGACGCATTATGTCAAGTGCCTCGTTGTCTATCTTAGCTTATTGTTTAATTTCCCCGAATTTGATTTTGCAATTAGCTGGAGTTAGCGTTCGTTTTGCTTTTTGCTTGTTCCTACGAAATCGTCCGCAAATCGTCGGGAATTGCACAATCTATTGTTATTCGAATATATTCGCTACCTATCCAGACAGTTCTGTGACACTTCTGTATAGATAAGATGTTCGGCATTTGCGAATCGAAACGGAAACATTTCGAGTGCTTAGTCAGCCACTCGAGAGGGTTCACCCACGGCGTTTCGGTTATTCGTTGCGCAATGCTTAATGCCTGATAAATGTATCGAGTGGCTTACTTCGATAACAACAACAAGGCATTCAACGATAAAATGGCATTTAAATTAAATCTATTGAAATTGATGGAAAGTCCAACGATCTGGCCAACTAATGCGCTGCGGTAGATACACTATTTAAATTATTTCAACTCACAAAATCAAATACGTTTGCTCTTAAAAAAGAAAAGGGATAACTGTAAAAATAGCTTTGAAAGCACATGAAAGCTTTCATAACAATAAAGTTCGTTTGCTCTTAGACAAAAGATCCGGATCAGCTGGTAAGCCGAGCTCTTCAGCCTTAAATGCGATAAATTGAGCATGTAAAATTCGTTAACTTTTAAAACATTAAAAAGGGGATAACTATAGAAACAGTATTGAAAGCACATGAAAGCTTTCATATAAATATGAGAGTTGCTTCATTGAGTATTTCATCTAAAAGTGCGTTTACTTAAAAAACAATCCGTTTAGTCTTCGAAAAAAGGAAGGGATAACTGTGAATTGAGCTTAGAAAGCAGCTTAAAGTAAGTTAAATTGTAAGTTAATTGTAAATCAAAGCTGAAATGCGCTTTGAAAGCTTATGTTCGCACTTTGAATTGTAAAATAACATATTGTATTCGTATTTAAAGCTAAAAATAAACATTATATTCACACATAAATCGTATCTCTAATTATGCTGACAGCTTTCTGTAAGGGCTTCATTTTGATAACAGTTTCTTTTAGTTTAAATATAACTAATCAATACATATGAGGCCCAAAAATATAAGTTATCATTGGAGTAGGGTAATTTAATATTTATATCATATCAGCTTGTCGTTACTTATAGGCCAAAGCCTTTGGCATATTTCATTCGCTTTTGACATTCAACACATATGCCGCCTATAAAAACGTGGGTGCCTTTAGTTGCCACCAAAGTCTGCAGCGAACGACAGCGCCGTAAACGTGTGGCATATAAAAACAAAACACTTATAAAAATACCAAAAAATACTAAAATGTTAACGCTTACCTTGCTTGCCTGTTTGGCTATCTCTGTATGTGCCACGCCCAGTCAAAGATTGGGTGAATCGAAGCTTTTGCAGGCCATTCGCAGCACCAACGATCTGCAGCAGAATGATCCAACACGTTCCCTGGAATGCTTCCAGTATTACAGCGAGATCTTCGATCAGCTGCTGCAGCAATACGAACAGGAGTTTCAGGCCTGCCAGAACACATCGCAGCTCCAGATCTCGGTGGCGGATGAGAGCTTTAATCCTGTCCTGAGCTCGTTAAACAACAACGCGGCGAACGCCTGCGAATTAATATACGATTGTAATAATCAATTGGATAGCTTGACAAGTCTGGCCTGCTACTCAGGGGTGGTAAGTGGACAAATATTGTTTATAATTTAGTTTATATTTAACTCTATGTCTGTATTTATATTTTATTAATAGGGCACCAGCGATGCCAAAATCATGTACAACATTTCGAACACAGCCAGCCAATATTACGGCCAGCTGCAGCAGCGCATTCAAATGATTCAGTTCACAGAGGAACAGTGCACGAATGAATCGAAGCGCAACTATGAACTCAGCACGGATCAGGCTTATGTCAATCTACAAGGTTGCCTGACGGGCAATGAACCAGTTCCGGTAAAAACCACAACAACAACGACTACAACTGATACGACCAGTTCAGATCCAGCTCGAAAAACAACTACACCAGTTCCAGTTACACGTACCCCGGCACCAACTGAGACTACATCAGTTTCAGATACAACTACACCAGAACCAGTTCCAAAATCAACTACTACAGTTAAGACAACGTCAGTTCCAGCAACGACCACATCAGTTCCAGTTCCAGTTACAACTACACCAGAACCAGTTCCAGAAACGACTACAGCGGTTCCAGTTACGCGTACCTCAGCTCCAGCTAAGACTACATCAGTTCCAGTAACGACACCAGAACCAATAACAAGTACATCAGCTCCAATTAAAACAACACGATTCCCACGAAGAACCACAAAAGCTACGGTGACGCCCACAACTTCTGCCGCACCTGGTTACCAGCCGAACCTGAGCTCTGAGCTGAAAAAGCTGCTGCATTCCCTGCTACACTAGACAACATGGTTAATGTAGCAGTGCTCAAGAACTGCATTAAAATAGGTAACAAACTGACAATCATTGCCTATCATTGGGTCTGAAAGGGGGCCGCAAACTTTTGTAATCTCGTTTGGGCGGGGACCCCACAGAAAAGAAACAGTAAAACGGAAAGTAAAGAAAAGGCAATTTTATGGAAATGTTGGCTAAATATTGGCATAGGCCAAGCCCAGGCGACAACTTCAATGGCAAACTTAACTAAACCAATTGCAACTCTGCAAGTGTAACTTACATAATTAACGCTTGTCGATGTAAGCTAGTTGGTATGCCGATGACTGACTGACTAGCAGATGCCCTGTACAAGGGCATTTTCCTATTTTATTCCTATTCCTATTTTATTTTAAAATAACTAAGTAAATATTATATTGTAAATGCCAGCTTAGTTAAGGTATATATAACAATAAAAGTTGTATCGTACTACAACTTAAATCGACCGATTATTATTTTAATGGCAGCTCTATGATATAGTAGTCCGATCCAGCCGACCCAGACATATTTACTGCCTGTAACTGAAAATCGGACCTTTCATGACAATAGCTTTAAGACTAGTTTGCAAAGGAGCTTGGTAAGATTGACTCGGCTTTTGCTGATCTTAATCGTGTTGGAAATCACTGTTTCTAAGAGTTACACATTTAATGAAAACATTATAATACCCCCTGTAAAGGCATATTGCCACATGTAATATTTGGTATATAATTTTATCTAACTCTAACAGCCTCTAATTGCAAAAAGTCAACTCGAATGCTGTTGACTTTAGTTTCAAGTATTGCCTGTAAATATTTTAATTGCCTGCATATCCTTTCCAAAGTTGATTATGGCGGTCTTTTAGCCTACTTTGTAGTAGAGGGTATAAAATATACGCTAAGATGTTGCAGATCCTTTGACAAAGTTTTCGCACTTGCCGCTGCCTTTAAAAGTTTAGCACAATTCCGAGCTTAGGATCAGGTTTGGCCCGGTCTAAATAAATGAAATTCCAATTGGCTGGCTTTAAGTCCGAGCATTTAACAGTTAAATAACCAGTTGCTGTCTTTTGGGCCAGCTGTGTTTTTCATTTAAATTTAATTGCGTTTGCGTTTGCTTTGGCTTTGGCTGTTGATTGTTGTTGCCTGCGGCATTGTTGTCATTGCAATTAAAACAAATTAGAAATGTAGGCACACACACACACACACAAAACACACACACCTGCCCACACAAACACAAACACTAACCCTAAAAATCAGGCAATAGCTGTCGCCATTGCCGCGTGTCCTTGCCGCAGGATGCAGCCAGCAGCTGATTTAAACCGTTGCCTAGTTGCAACTTTTGAGGGTGTGTGTGAGGGGGTTTGCGTGCGTGTGTGTGAAACGTTAATGCAGTTCGAGTTCTGTTTGCCTGGCTCGTTCAAAATGGTTGCGCACAAAGAACGCAATTAAGATATGCAAATTAGCAGCTGCCACGCCCCTCGCTTTGTGCGCAGCAGCAGCAGAAGCAGCCGTTGCAGCTGCAGGTGAGAAGATTTGGCAGCACTTGCGATAAATATGCTCATGCAAACAAAACCTTGAAGTCAAATAAAATAATTAAAATAGCATTCTGAAGCTTGGCAAATTTCTTTTAGGTATAGGAAAGCTTCGCATCCTGGGAGAGCTGTTTCTCCCAGTGAGTTCCAAGTCGTATAACTGATCAAAAATTATTTGAAGAGCTAAAAAACAATCTAGCAAACAATTTATAAGTGAGAAACAGCCAAGTTTTTGGCGATGATAAAGGTGATATCATGAAATCTAGAATTAATGCGATGTCTGCATAACAAGGCTGCAGCGTGCTTCGCACCTGTCCCAGCCTGGAATAACAACCTAATCTTAAATTAAAGCAGTTGCATATAAGCTAACCAAATTAAAAATATAACGAGGAAGAAACACAATCTTCGGCACGCGAAGGACCCTTTTAGGCATTACCCTACGGCTTTGTAGCTATGTGAGCACAGTGAAGCTCAGGAATGTTGAGTTTGCTGAAAATATCTTACAAATCAGAATATATGGGTCGTATACGTCTAATTCTTTGCGCTAAACATTTCATGACAAAATTATAAGATGAAGTGGTATAAGCCCCAAAGTAATTGTTGCGTTTATTTAAATTTAGCCTACAAATCGAGCATGAACATATGAACAACTTCGCTATGCAGCAGGCATTTGTAAATTTAAAATTGAACTGATTTTTGTGAATTTTTGTGCTAATAACAAATAATGGTATCAAGGTTATGGGAAATCAGCTGGACGAACCGAAGCTAATTCGAATTGTGAAATTTTATTTTCACTTTTTTTTTGGTTATGCAGTCTTGATGAGAAGTACTATAATATAGGATTGGCGTAATAATTGTGTATAAGATGATTAATTAGCAGAGAGCCAACAACTTATTCTGCAATATCCTTTTTTACATGCATGAAAGCCACAAAGTGATTGAAGTGGTTTCTACGATAACGAGTTAGCCATTAGGTTAGGCTATGAAAACGGGCATAAACTAACCTCACCTAATTTGTATGCTGTCTGAAGAGCGATTGTCCATTGTGTACAAAACCCTTCAGGGCACTTAAGAATTAAGTCGAAATTGCACACTTATCTTATACCCAGAAATAAATGCCATGCGCATCAAGGAAATTTAAAAATAAAAATAGTTAACTCATACGTATTTGCAATTTATATTGACCTTGTTGAAAACCAATTAAGTTAAATGAATCACAAACGCGATGACCATCGATTTATAACTTATTCTCAATTATTTTTTATTATTATTGTTTTGTCACTGCACGTGGCATGATAAGCGACTGAAGACGACACGCACAGAGATTAGATTCGTGTAAGGTTTAATGGGTTAAGTACAACGAGCAACGACCAACTATCGTGATAATGTTAAGCATAAGTTAAAAAATAAATAAAAGAAAACAACCAGATATTCAAGTATTTTGCTAGACATTTTTGTGGGCATGTAATGGGAATATCAACCCGGAATTTTCAGCATAATAATAAATATTTGTATTTAACCAATACACACTGCAATTCAAAGTGAGCTTATCTCGGAGTGTGGTTGGCTGACCAGCTGATAAGAGAGCTGACCAATGGCAGACTGCAACAGATATGGAATCAAGCAAAGCCATCAATTATTAAGTGGGCAACTAAAAGTTTTTTAATTGATATATATTTCCCGAATAAAAAATTAATAAAACAAATATGTATGTTGAATAAGCACTTGATAGATAGATTTACGATAAAAGCTGAAAATAGCAAAGCTTCGATCTATCGAAGTCGAGACGGCGCTAGATATAGTACTATATATATAAGAGGTTCAGGATGTGGCACTTGCCAGACCTGAGATTATACTGAAATCTCATGATCTAGCAGACCCAGATATGATAGTGTTTTCTGAGAAACTTCTAAGATTTGTACAAACTGTTCGGGTTTGTATAAATATTTATTTATTTGCAGTGGCATGTTGTTTAGGGTTTTATAAAGATTCCCAAGATTGCTGTGACGCGATCGGGGAGTAGTCGGCAACTGTTTAATTGTTTCATTGGAAATGTTTTTCACCGAGCCACCCAAATGATAAGAATGATAATGCCAGCCGCCAGCATTGATAAGGTGATAGCTCAAGTGATAGAGCCAAATCTAAAGTAATAACACGGCCATAATATGACAGGTACATATATACAATATGTGTTGTACACCATCCGATTTTATGTACAGCAACACTTGAGCGGCGCGCCTATAAATATTGAAGTCGCCTTCACATTACCACAATAACGAGTCCGACGTTCGCAGTAAACGAATCGAAAACAGTGTTAAGCAAAGAAAAAAAAAACCAAGTGTTAACAATTCACAAAATGTACGCCAAAGTGTGTGTATTACTTTTGGCCATTGGCCTGAGCCAGGCGGTGCCTAAGTCGCTGTTGCCCGATGTGGGCCTCATGCAGTTTATGATGAAATCACGCGATCTTAGCCAAGATAATCCCGCACGTTCGCTGTCCTGCTTCGACACCTACCTGCCCTTGCTGAACGACATATCCCAGAATTTCCAGAAGGCTTATGCCCAGTGCCTAGCGACGGCTGACGCAGCACGCGAGGGCATCGATGACACCACCAAGGATGATCGCAACCAGATCGATTCTGAAGCGACCTCTGCCTGCGAGGCTCTGACCACGTGCAGTCAAAATACAGCAGCCATTGACTACTTTGAGTGCTATACGCAAGCCGTAAGTTGAATGCACTCTTCAGTTCAAATGGATTACTTCACTTGGCCCATTTCAATTTACAGGGCAGCGACAATACAAAGGTCATGTACACGATCTCGTCCAACTCAGCGGAGCTGTTGGCTCAGGTGCGCGAGGAGTACCGTCTGATTGATAATGTCCAGTATGAATGCACTAACAAATCGGAGCGCGCCTATGTTGAGAATACGGCGGCCACCTATGAAAATTTAGATAGGTGTCTGGCGGGTCTTGAGCCATTAACAACCACACCAGCTCCCACGACTGCTCCCACGACTGCTCCCACAACTGCTCCCACTTCTGCTCCAACTGAAGTTGATACGACTCCATCACCAACCACAGCTGGTCCAGCTGAATCGACTCCAGGACCAACCACAGCTGCTCCAGCTGAATCGACTCCAGGACCAACCACAGCTGGTCCAGCTGAATCGACTCCAGGACCAACCACAGCTGCTCCAGCTGAATCGACTCCAGGACCAACCACAGCTGCTCCAGCTGAATCGACTCCAGGACCAACCACAGCTGCTCCAGCTGAATCGACTCCAGGACCAACCACAGCTGCTCCAGCTGAATCGACTCCAGGACCAACCACAGCTGGTCCAGCTGAATCGACTCCAGGACCAACCTCAGCTGCCGATTTACCCGAGGAGGATCTGTCCAGCCTGTCCGAGCAACAGAACAAGCTGAAGCAGATGATGGATGAAATGAAGAAATGGTTCAAACGCCATTAAGCCAGCATTTAGAATAGGTCAAGTGCGCCACAGTATAAAAATCAGTACTTAACAATTTAAATACATATATTATTTATAAAGACAACTTGACTTTTTCTATGGCCAAAGCATCCTAACTATAAAGCTAACAAATTCCGCTTTTAATTGTTCAATTTTTTATATGGCTTCAATAAAGTTTCAACAATTAAAACGGAAAAAATATATGATATATTTATTGTAGATAATTATTTTATTTGATTATAAATCATTTCCCATAATTAAATCTGAAACTGTTTTAATTATAAATCACACAAAAGGGTTAGCGTCGAACTTATAAGCGTTTCAAGCCGAAAGTTTGACCGATTCTCCAACTGACTATTTGGTGATCTACGCACATCCTTAGTTTTCACTGTAGTTTACTCATTAAGTTCGACCAGAAAAAATAAAATGAAGCGTTTTTGCTTGACATTCGATCGGCCTAAAAGTTATTTTCAAAATTCTTTGCTTAAATTAATATAGGTGTAGTTTTACACGTCTCGGAGACGTCAGCCCGCCTTGGTGGAAATGGGGGTCAAAGATTACCAAGGATATATTTTTGAAAATTCGTTTCAGAATTGTGTCAAACTTTTCGCAGAATCCAAGCATACTCGCAGTGAAAATGTACATGTTATCTCTTTCGCGAATCCATTTGAAGCACCTAGCTTATGCTAAGGTGGCTAAATATAGGATATCAACCTTCGGATTAACCAAAAATACGTTTTTTACCTAAGATTCTAATCCTGATTGCTCATTGTTCAATCGTCCAAATAACTGGGACACTTAGATCATGCAACTAGCGAAGATTGCGCATCTTTTCATTGATATATAAATATGCATAGATAAATAATATTAAATAATATATAAAGAAACCAAAGCTCTGATTTTCATTTTGCAGATTGGAACTGTCTAGTCAATAGATAACGATCGAAATTTTACTTAATTTACTTTCTTTCGCCTTAACTCATCTTATGACTAGGTATTTGATTTATTCGAGTATGCTCGACTACAAAATCACCTGTACTCCTCGGTGAGTAAAATAATAATATTTTAGTATTTACAACCACGCTAAGAATTCTTTAAATATAATATAATATATTGCACAATATGAATTCTAGAATGCGGTACTTTTAGTTAGCTTTTTATAAATAAAGCTGCTTCTTTCACCTGCGCCAGGCTATTTAATCGTTAATATTGAATAGCTCAGCTAAGCTTTTCTTTAAGTAAATTTGAGGAGAATAAATATACCATTTAAATGTGTGAATCTTCTAAATTTCCAGGCTGTAGCTTTCCAAATTTGTTGATATTTTTTGCGGGGAAATGGGAAGAGGTATCTAAAATGAGAAACATTTCAAATTTGGTTTACTTAGCTTTTATAGTATTTGAGTTATGCCTAAATACTCAACTTGTTTCGTGCATGTTATAGGAGAATATGCCTTATAAATTACAAGTGTCTAGATCTTAAAGTTTTGAGGATGAACACGTTTGTATAGACGGACAGCTCGACTAAGCTCGTTGCCCTGATCAGAAAAATATATATTGTATGGGGATAGGACATGCCTCCATCTGCATGTCACATATATTACCTAAGACTATTAAACTCTTTTATGCCTATTTTAAATGCGTACAGGGTATAATCATTTTGTTGAATTTCATTATGACTGTTGATTTATGCCAAATTCAGTTTCATTTCCATTCCTTATCACATTCATTAATTTATATACTTAGTAGAATTTTACCTAAAGCAAACTGAAATACCTTGATAGGCAGCATTTTGTTTATTGCTCACACTTAACATAAATAGCGACTACAGTGTTAACTCGACAGCTTGAACAGTTGCACACTTGGCAATAATTCGAAGTAAGCCTTATCTGATGCGTGCTGCTTAAAACGTGTTTGGCCCTGAGATAATAACGACAACGTTCCGTTTTTTTTTCTTTTGCTATTTTTAATAATTTTCATTTGATGAGTTAGAAACCTATTCAAGAACCAAGTAATCACCATATTGTGCTGCGGCATTTTGATTAGTTTTTAATCAAAAATCTTTTCCTAATTTATTTCCGATAGCCACAATTGTCTTTTCTGTGGGTATAAAAGTATAGTGTGCACGTTCTTGCGATCAGTTCAGCAAATTCGTTACTCCCGACAAGGATCTCATACTGTGAAACAGCTCAAAGAAAGTCAAAGCGAACAGAGGAAACTATGAAGTACACGATTGGAGTGTGCCTGGTGTTGGCCGCCGCCTGCAATGCTGCTTTCCTTGACAGGCCTGTTAACTTTCAACCATTCGTGGAACTGCAGCATAACGCCATGCGCTCATTGATCTCGGCCCATGCCAGCAACGATGATCCCAACCTGATCAATAACTGCTTCAATCAGTATATTTCGGACCAAATGAATGTTTTGGACAATTACAACAAAATCTACACGGGCTGCGTGACCACAGCCCAAAGGGAGAAGACCGAATTGACCGCCCAGAGCACAGAGAGTCGCAAGGACCTGCTGACCCGCAGCGATGGAATGTGCAGCAGCCTCGGCTCCTGCGATTTGTTGATCGATGGCCTGGATTTCTTCGATTGCTACCGTAATGCGGTAAGTATTTAAACAAGTAAGATATATGTATCAAGGCCGCAGGCGGGGTGGGAATAATAATTTCGTTTTTATAAATCGAGCTTTTAACCAAACTAGTTTCGAAAAACCGAACCAAATAATTGTATCTAATAAATCGTTTGGTTCGACATAACTTTTGATAGAGTGCTTTGACCCCAATCAATACATTTCTCCAATCATATTTGACAAATGTCAATGCTTGCAATGTTTTCAGTAGAACAGACAATTCAATATTAATAAATCATTAAAAACTATATGATAAATGTTCGAACCAACACCTTAATTCAAGCTTTACGAACCGAGTCTTGTCCGGAAGCTCGGATCATTGACATTTTTTTACGGATTCGCAGCCCTAATATGGTTGCATTATGATTGATTACTAAAACCATAAAAATTAGTTAATGTCATATGGAAAGAGGACAGTATTTTGAAAAGGAATATTCTGATTTTTGGAAATTAATTTAAAATTTGAAAACGGCATGCATTTAAAGGCTAAAACAGTTGTCAGCAGTTTTCGTAATGTGATAGTTTATCTTAACAAAAATGTTTCTTCATCATCAATTTAAAATTGTAATTTTTTCCAGTCCGCAGACAGCTACAAAGTGATGTTTACTCTGAACAGCGATGCGAACAGCCAGTTCAATACGATTAGCACCAGATACGGTCTCATCGATTCAGATTTAACCCAATGCGTAGATGAGGCCCGTCTGGAGTATGCGCGCGACCTGGAGAAATGCGATTCGGATTTCAATATCTGTATTTCGGGTGGCGAAGTGACATCTCCACCAACAACTGATAAGCCAGTTGACTCTACACCAGTTGTCACTACCGATGGACCCATTGTTACTACCGAGGGACCTATTGTTACTACCGAAAGACCCATTGTTACTACCGAAGGACCAGCCGTCTCAACTGATGCACCAGCCGTGTCTACTGATGCACCAGCCGTGTCTACTGATGCACCAGCCGTCTCTACTGATGCACCAGCCGTCTCTACTGATGCACCAGCCGTGTCTACTGATGCACCAGCGGTCTCTACTGATGCACCAGCCGTCTCTACCGATGCACCAGCTGTGTCTACTGATGCACCAGCCGTGTCTACTGATGCACCAGCCGTCTCTACTGATGCACCAGCTGTGTCTACTGATGAACCAGCCGTTTCTACTGATGCACCAGCCGTCTCTACTGATGCACCAGCCGTATCAACTAATGCACCAGCCGTGTCTACTGATGCACCAGCCGTGTCTACTGATGCACCTGCCGTCTCTACTGATGCACCAGCTGTGTCTACTGATGCACCAGCCGTGTCTACTGATGCACCAGCCGTCTCTACTGATGCACCAGCCGTCTCTACTGATTCACCTATTGTCTCTACCCAGGGACCAAGCGGCTCTACAGAACCAACCATTCCAACTGAAGCGCCTGTGACAACAACAGAAAGGATGCCAGAGGAAGATATTCAATTGCTGCCACTGACCTTCAGAAGCGCTTTGGACAAGCTAAGGCGTTTTTTCTAAATTTGCGATGTATTGTAGAGTGAATGAGCTTTATCAATCAAGCGGAAAGCATACATAAATAAACTTTATCAATTGATAATTGATAAATAATTCAAAAGTAATGAATATACTTGAATAGTTGCATACTTATAGGGTGCCAAAGAAATTATATTCATTCATTGAGCTTATCAACGAAATTTTGATTAGAAGAAGTCTATAAACACATGTATACATCTGTATATATATATATATATATGTATATATATGTATATATGTACTTATATGACATGATAAGGTCGCTAGATAAATTTACACAGACCTTATATGAGGTTGCCATAAAAAGTTGCTTTGAAATCGATTTATTATTTTCACTGTAACAACGGATCAGCTCTCATAACACACGACACATTCCAGATAGTGTCCACCTATCAATTGATATGCCAATCTAAGTCTTTATATGACTGCTGCGTCGAACATTTACACTTGATTGCGAGAAATTAGTAGGAAATGTTCAATTAGATACCTTTTCAATAACACACTCGACTGTTGTCCGGCCGCTTAAGGCGCCATTCAAAATCTATTGCCAAATGTGTGCGGTACGAGTCGAGAACCAGTTGGGTTGCGAGACCAGACGTCGCCGGCGGCAGCTGTCCGGGCAGCTGGTGCTGGTGCTGCTGCTGCAGCTGCTACTGGCCATTTGCGTGCATGGGGCATGCGGCACAAGTGCGGACAAGACTCTGGGCATAGGCACACCATGGCCGGACACCACACTCGATGACTGTCACGATGAGTACATGCTGGCCAGTGAAAATGCCTCGAGCACCTTTGCCAGAGAGTACGAGCTGTGCGAACTGGCGGCCACGGACGGTCAGCTCGATCTGACCATCAATGAACAGCTGGAACGCGAACAAATCGAACTGGGCCGCAGCGAGTTGTGTGGAAGTTTTGATCAGTGTGATTCACATGACGACGATCTCGAGTACTTTGAGTGTGTCAGGCATAATGTAAGTGCAATACTCTAACAAACAGTGGCTGAAAGCAGTATGAGATTAAATTTGAAGAGCCGTAGCTGCAAAATTGATAAAGATTATCTGTAACTATGCCATCAAAAAATTATAGCCTACGAAAAAAGCTTTAAAAGAACAAATCATCTTGTAAAGAACTTTAACTTAATTATTTTAGAGTTTAGCTGATGGAAGATGCTTAAAAAGCCCATAAAAGCTTTAAGAGAGCTTTAACTTATTGTCGCAATAAAACGTGATAACTGAAAGCTTTACGATTCGCTATCAAGTTCATATTTTAACTACATTTTTTTTTGAGTCTACAAAGCGCAACAAAAAACTCCAAATTAATTATTTGATTTTCACATATTTGTGCTTGACCATAGCAGAACTTCTAAAAAGCTCATTTAAGCTCGAAATAAGTGCAAGCACATATTAAGATGTCAAATATGTGGAATTAAATGCAGCTTTAATGGGTTAAAAAGCAGTTCTTTTAAAACTTAAAACTTATTAAGCAAACGACTTTGAATATACTCTGCGATTCCTTACCAGCGGCAAATTTAATCTAAAGCTCAAGCCTGACTTTCAGCTAGTGTCATTACAAGCATAACTAAACCATTTCTAATGCTTTTACAGGGCAGCCGTAATCTGGACTTGATCACAGAGATTAATTACAATAGCACAAGCGCACATACACGCCTGCGCCAGGACTACGATGCAATTTATAAGACGCTGATGTTGTGCACCCTCGATGCAAAGGTGATGTATATAAACAGCATGCGCGCGGCGTACGAGGAGCTGCATGAATGTCGCAGCGAGGCCGACAACGATGCGGACTGATCAATATATACAAGCATTAGATAGAATTTAGATATTTAGTAAAGCATTTGAAAGACTTTAATCTGTGGTTTTAGCCGAATTCGCCGCCAGCTGCAGGCATTTGTCCAGCGCATCGAATATGCGCGCTGTGCCCAGGACATAGCTCTCCTCGGTGCGATTCGTGCAGCGATAGCGCTCCACATCGATGCTATTCAGCTGCTGTGTGAGACTGAGCGCATTCTCCGAGGCATTGAACGATATGGCATACATCGTGGCCAGCTGCTGCTTCGACTGCCAAATGATGCGTTAACTTGATCATAATTATGTATAAATAAAATTTGGCCATTTGTCGACCTACCAATTTGGAAAAACAGTTGAAATAGTCCAGGACATCCGTAATGTCCAGGCAGCTGTCTATGTAGCCGTCTATGCGCAATGCCGCCTCCCGCATCAGTTGCTGCTCGCCATCCAGCTTGCTCAGCGCAGTGCCACGCACTGTGTCCGCTTGCTGCTGGCAGCCACTGTACGCCGTTGACCAGTTGGCGCCCACTTGCTCCAGCTGCGGCAGATAGCTGGCAAAACACTTCTTCGTATTGCCCGCACCGGCCAGATCGTGGCTCTCCAAATACGCTGTCAAGCTGTTCAGGCTGCGTGGTGCTTGCGCATGCTGCAAAGTCCTTTCTAAAGTCGATTTTCCAATCCCTTAAATTTTTAGCTATTTACCAGCAACTGCGACAGCATCAAAGTTATGAATTCGATTTTCATGTCTGTTTTGGTTAGTGGGCAACGTACTACTGCAAAATGCTGTTAAGGTTCAAGGCATAGGGCTTATTGGTTAATATGACATTGATTCATGGTTTGTTTGTTTACGTTTAGTCGCTGCGTTTGCTCTTATCGCGACGTTTGCGAAAACGAGAAGAAGCTCAGTGCTGCTTAAACTGTAATAGCTAAAATGTAAGGCATACTTTTCTATGCGCCTGTAGCTGCTTGAATAATATGACAAAATAGTTGAATGTACACATAAACATTTAGTCCAAGTAAAATTTAATAAGAATAAAGATGTTCAAGAAAGAAAAATGTCAATTTGATTGTATTGTATACTATATATATATTTTAACTATAAGCAACAAATGAAAATCCCTTAAATTGAGAATAAACTGTTTATTAAGTTGATAAAAGCGAATCGCTTTAAATGAACTCTGGACTCTAACATGCTCGCTTTACTATTTTAAGTTGCATGACGTTTGCAATTTTTAATAAGTTAAGGCTATGCCAAGGGGAATCCTAGAGTAGATAAAAAAAGTCTGCTTATGATAAAACCGGAAGCTTCTTGAAATTGTCATACAGACTAATACAAATTTTTTGGATTTATACCTTGATTATAGTTGCTCAATTTGTGATTTCCTTTTGTTTCATTTTTTTTTTATTATTATTGAAAAATTAAGCCTTTATTTTAAGCATTTATTTAGAATTATAACTTTATAATGACACCTTTTTCATATATAATAAGTGAATTTATATGAATATAAATATATATTGAATACATTTTGATCTTGTAATATTTTATTATGTTGATTATTTCTTTGCTATTGTTAGTTGGAAGACCTAATGCGACCTTCTGGATTTATTGTGTCTGACAATGGTAAATTATACTTATAGTTGTTTGCGTAGTCCAATCATATGCCAGAGAGCAATGACTTTCCCATTAAATATCCGACCCCCAGCTGCGTACATCTCAGCAGGGTTAAGACTGGGCAATTATCGAGAATGTGTTCTGGAGCTTATTTGTTATTAATGTACACGTTATTTATCGGTGTACGAATATTCATATTCAATATCCAATTTTGACTACAGTTGCTGACGTGTAACGTCACATTTTTGGCATACTTTCGATTATTTATGATTGCGATAACACATAACGAAATGCCTAAGCCGATAAGCCGAACAATCGAGTTGCAGACAAATTGGCGCATATATTGGCTTAATATTTCATTAGCCAGGCTAACCGTACCTAACCATACAGCCATACAGCTCGGCTGTAATGAGCCCGAACCTGTGCGAGGCGGCTATCAGTCGAGCGAATGGGGCGGGTATCTATTTTTGGTGTACAGGGTCATAGCTTTATGTGGGCGTTACGTGGGCATCACAAATGCACATGCAAAGCAATTTGAGGGCTCTGGCATAAGTCGTTTTGCGTTGCCGTTTGGGTCGACTTAATGCCACCTAATTGATCGGCGGCCGTAACGGGCTTCACACCTCTCACCTGATGAGGCAGCTATTTTGGTTGCTAGACGCAATTTGACAACAAATTCACTTGCGAATGCATCAATCATTCCCGAACGAACGAACACGCTTCGGATTGTATATAAAGCATTAGCGCCAACTGTGGGCCATGTCCAGTACTTGACGAACCAGAGAGAGCCTCAACATGAAACTACTGTGCAGTGTGCTAATCCTGGCCAGCGTGGCCCTCCACATCCAAGTAATTGAGCTGTGCCATTGGCCACATCAAATAATCAGTTAAAGCAGCATTTGTTTTGTTTTAACGAACCGTAGGCCAAGCCGAGCTCAGTGCAAACGCAGCTGCAGGGCGCCCTGGATAAATATCTGGTGCAAGCGAACAACTTGGATATGGTTTCCGCAGACGTGACCTCTCAGTGCTTTTCCCTGTATCTGCCCATGCTGAATGAGGTGGCTGCCGCTTTCTCCACCTCGTATCAGACCTGCATTACCACATTCAACGAGCAGCTGGCCAATTTGACAGCACAAGCCCAAAAGGATCAGGTCGTCTATCAGCAGGATGTGAGCGGCTTGTGCAGCGCCTTCACCAACTGCGACAACACCACCGGCAATGACACCGCCAGCTTCTTCAACTGCTACGCGACTGCGGTAAGTGGAAATTCTTGAAAGCACATTATTTGCTCATTAAACAACAAATATTCAAATTGCCAATGTGCAGGCCCAAGGCGATGTCTCGGTGATCTATGACATTGCCACCAATGCGGCCAACACCGCCAACACCCTCGCCGAGGCCATGAAGGCCAACCAGGACACGGAATACCAGTGCACCAATACCACCGAGAGCAACTATGTGCGCGACACGGCTGCCACATACGATCTGCTCGACAGTTGCCTGAAGAACGGTGTGCCCACCACCTCGTCGGCTGCACCCTCCACCACCGTGGCACCTTTGAGCACCCAGGGTGTACAGAGTACAACCCAAAGGCCTGCTACAACTGTTGCTAACGTTGTTGCCAGCTCGCCTGCTGCTAGCTCAGCGGCTCCAGTTGTGATTGCCTCGACGGCAGCCACTGTCTAAATTCGGACTGCGTTCTGTTCGGCAGCCAATCAACAAATATATGAGCATTTATCAAAAAAAGAAGAGAAAAAAAAACAGTTTATTTTGGTCTGGATTTCGTTTTGCTATGTTTATGTCAAGGTTATTGTCAGTTGACAGGACATTGCATTTGACAAGTGGTTCGATAACGTTTTATATTTCTCACACTGCCCTCAAACGCTTCTTCTTTTTCTAAAGAAGTTTCCAAATCAGCAACTTGTTCCAATTGTGTGCACATGTGGCAACGCCATGAGCATAAATTGGCAACTCTGCAGCGCATAAATTGGCAACTTCAGCTGACAAGCGACAAGAGGAATTGTTGAATTCAGTTAAATGTGTCAATGAGCTGTCATTTGATAGTTGCTTTTCTCGTAAAAATGTTGTTCAAACCTGTCACTGCAGGGTGGCAACTCTGTGCTGTCATAAAGCTAGAAAAGTTATCTGTTTAATTTTGACAGGCACACACAAAAGTATATTGTTAGGACATTTGAGTTTGATTGAACTGCATGTCAAACCTGCTGGTTACTTTGACAGCTGCATGCGAAAAAATGGCTTTCAAAATAAATTGTATATTAATTAAGTCCATCCTGCACAGAGTTAAATTGAGCATGAATTATAATATTTATAAAAGTATAATTTAATATAACTTTAATATTAACTTTTAACTGAACTTATCGCAGCTAATTAAATTGAAATTTAGACGTTTTCTGGAACACCCCCACACGCGCTGACCTAACGTACGCTTTCAAAATCAAATAATCCCACAACTTAACTGCTGTTTACAGCTATTTCAATGTACACCTGCCAAAATAAAACCTTATCAGAGCCCCCTCCCCAAAAAAAAGAAACGAAATACCAACTGACCGTTCGAATTTTAATTATCGTAGGATCTCTTCACTGTTGCTTTTGACTACTTTTTTGGCTATAAAAATCGCGGACTCGGCAGGCATTCCACTCAGTTCAAGTTGTGTCCGCGAAACGTTAAACATGAGATTCATTGGAAGTGTCTGCCTGCTGGCCATGGCCATCTTTCTGCTAGCCAGCGTGAATGTAATTAGAATTGACTAGCCAAAACTGTCGCAGCCATGTCTAACTTTACCATTGAACAGGCGCTACCAGTCCAAGTGCAGTGCAATGATGGCAGCAATGCAACTCACACCCAGACCTCGGCAGATGGCCAACAGACGCAGACGCAAACTGGACCCGGCTGCCAAACACAAGTCTCGGGAGATGGACAGCAGAGCCAGAGCCAGAATCAAACGGGCAATGGCACCCAGACCCAAACACAGTGCAGCGGTTCCGATTGCGCACCACTGCCGCCCCTCTTCACACTGAAGCCACTCGAATGGAACACCATGAAGCCCCTCGAATGGAACACCATGAAGCCCCTCGAATGGAACACTTTTGCACCAATGCAGCCGTGGAATTAGATATAGACTTTTGAACTGTACGCAACAAATATGCCTCACATCTGTCCAAGTTCCCAACATTTTTGAATATACACAATATATAATTCAGTTCTCGACTTATTTATTTTAATCGACCTTGAGACAAGCTATATAAATTATTATAAAATCTAGCTATCATGGGTATAATTACCAACAATTATTTAGCTCGCTTCAAGCTGTCATAAGTGGAGCCTTAAGCTGTCAGCAGATATAATTGTATTCAATTAATAACATAAATCTAGTTTAAGGCTGTCAAGACTTGAAGCGCTTTGTCAGATAGTTTTAATTCAATTTTTTTTGACAAATGGTATGCAGATTCAATCAAATGTATTTTACTTATTAGTTGCCATGAAAAATATTCAACAATTAGTTGTGCTCTTAGTACACTTTATTTTTATTAGTTCACATAAAGCTTTCTTAAAGCAACACATTTTAAAGCAATTTTTGATCCCGAGGTGACAATTGCTTGTTATAAAATTAAATTTATAATATACAACATTTCTTGAAGGTGTTGTAAACTTAATTTAATAAGGAAAGGCTCAAAATAGCTTTTCGTAATGGTTGGTTGAATTTGTGATAAGGGTTTCGCAGTCAAGGATTTAAAGGAGCAGACATATGGGCATGGAAAGTGATGGGGGGTAGATGGGCATGTGTTGAAGGAGTCTTTCAATATTTATCGATTTAAGGTTTTTCTTGTCATATATACAGTACTGAAACTATGTCAGCGATTCTTATTTTGGTTTTATTAGCAAATATCTGAGCCATCTTTTTGCCTTAAAGCTCTTTATATAAAATAATAATAATGCTCTGTTTTATGCGCTGCTTAAAATTTGACAAGCTGCAGCTGAGATTCTGTCTACGACTTCTACTGCAGCTGTCCAATTGCAATTGTTTGCATAACAGTTGCTGCCCCGCTTTCTCCTGCCCCGCTTCCTCCCCGCCTCCTCAAAGAACTCTTCTAGAACTTCCTGCAGCGCAGTGCTGGAAAGTGTTGCATTAGGTTTTGCAGCAAGTTGCGCCTGCGGCTAATGCAATTTTTCGCTGCTGCGCATATAAAACTTTTTAATGCCCCCCAACTTTTGGCCAAGGAGCTGTGCCGTCTGCTCGCCATCAAGAGATTTCGGGCAACTGCATCCGCTGATGTGCCATGTCAGCGTGTGCAAATAATTGTGCATAAGCGCTACAATAATCAAAGCCAGACATGGCTCGGATATAGAGAGGGAGAGTGAGAGTAGGTGGTTGGTGGCAGTTCCAGTTCCGGAACTAGTTCCAGTTAGCTGCCAGCCGTGTCGCGTCGAAGCCAGCTGGCTCTTAACTCATTTTCTGATTAAAATCTTGGCCATTAAGCGAGCGCGCGCGCTCAAATCGGACTAAACTTTTTTAATGGCACTGACAATAGTTGCGCCTGGTACCGTGGCCCGGTCTGTTCGCTGAGGTAGAGTCAGGCCGCAAAGGGACGCGCGAAAATTGGCGCCTGCAATGAACGACATGGCGCTGAATTCGGGCTAAAATTAAATTAAAACTGTCGTGCAAAATGGGCGAGAAAAAACACAAGAAGCACCAGAAGCCAGAAGAAGTTGAGACTGTGAAAATATTTGCGCCCGCTGCTCCGCTAACCGTGTTATTTTTTTTCGTATTAAAGGAGTCCAGCTGTCAGCGCTGCCAGAGCAACGATGTCAATTAGTTTTTTGAACGGGACGACCTGCCTGGCTGCCGCCCACCACACCACACCTCACCGCACCGCGCCGTTTGGCTCAAGTCAAGTTGGCTTTAAGTTAATTGCATAAGATTTCACTTTGCACTTGCCGCTCGCCCGGGGGGCAAGGGCGGGTTGGCTGTTTCCTTCCGTCTGCCGGTTGTTGTCGCCGTTTTTTAATCAAGTTAAAAGTTATTTTTAAATGAAGTGCGAACAATATGCAAGTGCACTGCAAACATTGCGCCTCGCCCCTTTATCTATCTGGATTCCCATAAATATATCTGCATATTATTGCCCCGCTTCTCTTGTATTTGCCTTTTGCCTGGTCAAGCTAATTAAAACCACATTTTCTTGTGGCTGCGCGCTTTTGTGTCCGAGCCAAGACTTGCCAAATGAATTGTAAATAAATAGAAATACTTATGAACAGCGTGACTTTTTATTGCGGCCCTATAAACGCGCAATGTGCTGTCTGTGACATCACAATATGATTTATATAGAAAAACATTCTACGAGCACATCACGAGATATCATTTACGCACGGTTTTTTATTTATTTTTTTTTTTTTTGTTTTTTTTTGCATATTACGATAAGATATCGTAACGTAAACGAACTACTTAGCTGATATATCAAGCTATTTGTGAACGTACTGAATAGCCAATACCCTTGCTGTCAAAATATCGATAAATTAAAAATAAAATGTAATGGATACTAGAACAACTGTCAAATCGATAAACTATATATATATTAAATTGATACCTGAATTGGGAAGATCTTTGCTCGATAAGGTATGTATAAATCAAATTGATACTAGAATTGAAAAGGCTACTGCTTGAAACATATCGATAAACTAAAACTAAATTGATTAAAATGCGGCTAATCAAAGTATTTAGAATTTGATTTGATAAAATATCAAGTCTGCAATTCTATTTGATTATTTGATTATTTTATGGTTTTTGAGTTAGAAATTTTTTTAAACAAAACTCATAAAAAAGTTAAAGGATTTCCTAGCTTATCATATTATACAATTTTTAAATTAGTGCTTGTTTAGCCACCGCTTAAAATCGAGAGAGAAGAACTAGAAACACAGAGAGAAGAATTCCAATTTCTCAAATTGAAAGAGCCTCAGCAAGTCTCATTGATATATTTCGACCCACAGCATCCACAGCTTATTTAGACACAATTTAAATGCCTCTATCAACCCAATTAGTCATGCTAATTAAATATGAATGTTTTTTTTCTTTTTTATGGGAATGGGAGTGCTTAGTTTCATGTGCACCAGCCTTTTCAACTGAATGCCCTCGTCAAGCCTGTAAACAAAGCACTTTTGCTGTGAACACAGACATGAAATTGTTCTTGGCAAACTCTAGCGCCATGAAGGCCACTCGAAAATCAAGCTGTTTGCTATGCTGAATTGAGTGAGTTAAGCTTTTAGCTGCAAGTAAACCACTTTTTTCTACACTTAAAATAATAAATAACGCTTGAAGCTCTTAAACGATGCAACAGCTGTGCTCTCACATAGTTGTGATGCTGTCCCGCTAACACAATATTAAATGAAAGAATTCCATAAAAAAATCAAAATAGTTCAATAAACTCTAGACATAAATATGAAAGCAAAAGGTCACATAATAAAAATAAATCAACAATAAGGTGTATATTTAAAGCTTTAAACGCGCTTGTTATTACAAAATGTGTTCCATTTAAAGCTTTAATACACTGTAAAGCTTTAATAGCAAGCGCATTGAGCTTAGATCTTACTGTAAGATAGCTTATTGAGCTTTGCGATTGACATCAGTGAAAAGAAATAGGTCTCATATATATCTATGATATCTATATATCTGATTCAATCTTAAAGCTCTTTTTGCAAGTTCGCGCAGAATATAGCGAGCTTTAAGTTGTTGAGTTGCGCAAGTATACTTTTTCTTGATTGAATAGGTATTTGTATTGCCTCTTGTTAATTATATTTAGTATTTAAATGCAATTAATATAATTGCAGGGTATTCAATGGCTGGTCATTATGTGCTTGTTCAATACGTTTAGGTTGCGTGCTCGCCACGCTTGTTGAATTTCATTTGTCATTAGTTAGATCTCTTTATATTTTTAACAAATTATCTGCGCTGGCAAAGCAGACAAGCACAGCACAACCGCACACACATACACACATACACACGCACACAAACGCATACATACTAACCGGCAATTGTGGGTGCTTTACACCTGCAAAGCCGTTGATTGATGATGTGAGCAATTGATAATGTGAGACCAGTCAAGCGGGTGGCGCGCGCGTGAGTGCTGGGCGGTGGCTACGCTAATTGGCGCCACAGTCGCTTAGGGGCGGGTTGGGGGCGGGTCATGCTGACGGGGGGTTTGGGCTGCTTAAAAATGTAAAGCATGCTTTCGCCTCATTCTAGTTGTTTTGTTTTTAATTTTTTTCGTTTTTTTCTGGCGTATTGTATTTACAGCAGAGTTTTTTGTCGCCTCTTATTTTTTTGCTGCCTGGGCTAATTGAGCGCTTAAAGCGGATTTCGACGCGCGTTTTACTTGTATTTTTTTTAAGTTTTTTCTTTCAGGTTGCTCTTGTTTCAGCATGCCTTCTAATTAGAGCGTCTAAAGTTAATTGCAATTTGAGGCACTTGCCGCGACAGTTACTTTGGCTTGTCACGTTTTTCACTATAGACGACTTCATTGACAGCATCAGCTGCTGCCCAGTAGAAGTCGTAGTCGCGCGATACGCGGCTACGTGTTGGATTGAGATAAAGGGAAATACTACGTATGTGAAAAAATGTAGTTCTCTCTCTCACTGTCTGTCTCTGTTGAGTTGTCAGTTGGTAAAAATTTTCTAATTTTCTACTGCAGTGATTTGGCATGCAGAGTGGTTCTGCGAGACTGCGACTTCTGTCTCTTCAGTGTCTCTCTGACTGGGACTCTGACTCGATTTCGTGTTTGCGGACTCTGGACTCGTTTCACTGATTTATGCGCATCAATAAGTTGCCCGAGTGCGATACTTAGGCGAAATGTGCCGCAATGAGACGTGGACAAGCAGCACGGCCAGCACAAGGAGCTCAGGAGCAGTACGGAGCTGCGGAGATAGAAGCCAAATAACAGTCAGCAGCAAGCACGTTCGCCTGCAGCAAATGCTACTGCTCCTCCTGCTGCTGCTGCTGTTGCTTTTGCTGCAGCTGCCCTGGCCAAAATAATGATTTGCATTTTGCATTTTCAGTTTTCCGATTTCGATGTGCGATTTGGTTTTAGCTGCGGCTCTGCTATTTCTTTGCTTCATCTCCCTGGCCGTTCCCAGTAGCTTTGAAAGATATATGGGCTCAAGTCGTTGGCCGCATAAAAAATTGCAAAACTTTGGCGCCGCCGACTGTGGCCG